TTATTTTGGGGCCTTGTTGTTTAATTAAAGTGTTTTTAAGCTAGAATATGCTGTTATGAAATTGAACATTTGAAATTTAAATATCCCTTTTCCTTTCGCTTGTCTGATATGCACATATACAAACAATAGAGAAAAACTATGTGTGAAATCCTCCCCTTACACGTCAGTAGACATAGTTGGAATTTAACAATCGAGTTTATATTGGACTGGCACAAGTGATAAACAAGCTTAGATTGAATATATTCTGTGTGATTCTACAAGGGAAGTGTGTCCTATAACAGAATTTTGCTGGGGGGTTGTGTGTAGTTCATCCATTTTTGTATACATCGCGATAAAAAGTGGAAAATACCCCCTCTTATGTTGCTAAATTGAATTTCTAGTAAAATATTTTCTTAACGAGTAAAAATTAAACCTGCCCCCAGCACTTTCTATGTACCGCGATGAATTGATCTTTGTAACAAACTTTGCACAATATTTTTGTTTTGCCCTTATGCCGAAGCGATTTTTGTACAACATTGAAGAATATCGTAAATGTCCGTCACGTGATCAACACAGTCATGTAACATCACAAAAATGCTTTATTTTAATACCTGATTAAACTTTTATATCATGTTGACCGTACGTTCAAACAAGGATTACATATTGAAAGCAAAAGCTAGCTCAAAGTAACATGTATATTTTAAGGCATTTTAAGCCTTCGTACAGCCTTATCATAACTGCGTTAAAAAAACACCATACGGAACCTTTCCTTTCTTAACATAAAATGTCGACAATATAAGCACATAGAATATCAAGCTAAAATGTTCTCAAATGTTTTCTTTTAGTTGAGGAATTTCCCCGCGACTGCCAGGATTTACAATGGTTAGGCTACAGAAAAAGTAAGATTTTCCCTCAGAGAAGTGGAAGTTTTGAAGTTTTCAGTGATCAGAGGACGGACGGAGGAGAATGAGTGGTAGGAATACAAACAAATACATCAATCAAAGCTTTTGATGCTATTTCAAAAATTTATAAAATGACTGATATACGAGGGTTGATCCAAAAGTAATGTCACAGTGTCCATATCTTTTATATTTGGCGTCATATTATCAAATACAATATACCAAAAGAAGCACAAATATAAATCTAATTATCATTGAACTTTTAAATTAATAATGTTTATTTGAATTTATTTTATAAATGTTTAAAACATAGAGCATAGGGGGTGTCGTCGCGTCACAACGGAACGTCACGTTTTAAAGTGTATTTATATCCACAACTTTTCCACTAATAAAAGTAACTTTCACAATATGAAAAGCCTTTCCGTAGCTTGTTCTTCTTACTTGAAACACTAGTAAAGACACGAGAACTTGAGATGAGTGAAAATGTCATTTATTGATCAGATAAATGACGAAAGTGAACAAAAACACAAAAATATACAATATTACATACAATCATGTAAATTATAGCTGGGATAAGGCCAAAAAATGATTAGTTTTAACTTAGATATGATATATTGCGACTTAGTGCTTATCCCAGCTATTGTTATATAATGATTACCAAGTTTGTGTAACAAGAAGGTGGCGTAAACAAAGAGGCCACACGGCATGGTAAATGTTTGATGTTATACAATGAGGAAAACTTCCAAACAACAAAAATTCAAATATTGGTATTACATGGGAGGAGGATGGAAGGTGGCGGTAAATTGATTGCAACCTCATGTTTGCGTAAAATTAAATTAATTTAGCACTCAATCCCGATCAAGCCGAACCCGATCCAAACATGAGTTCGAGCCCGATCCAGTCGACCCCACTCTTTTTACATTAAAAATCAATAACAACTACAATTTTAATCTAAATTTGTCAAAAACAATGTAAAAAAGATTGTATATAAATCATTTTATGAGACATAAAATTGTATTTTTTCTTAGAATGAAAAAGATAAACACATTAAAAAGATTTTAAAAAGGCATCTAATCTCCCAATTTTTAAAAGGCACAATTCTCGTCACTTTTTAGGTCTTTAATTGAAAATTAAATGACGGCATTGGCATGTGTGATCATAAACATTGTTGTTTTACTCTGTTGAATTGAACAAAGGGATTGCCGAAGTGGGGGAAAACGGCTCCACGAGTTGTAATGCATTTTTTGCTTCAAAGTATGGGAATCACCACAAGCGACAGTTACGTTTACTTAATTAAACTTACAGAATAAAGAATGTAAATAAAAGACATCTTAATAGATGGTTTCAGCAATTTTGGGCTGGTGATTGCTCACTGAATGAAACGCAGAGGACAAGAAGACCGAAAGATAGGAGATCGAACGGATTAAACGTTCAATGGTGTCTGACGTTGTCAAAAAAAAGACAGTCGCATAGAGTGACATGTGAATTTTAAGTTTGCTGCTGTTGTAAGAATTTTGAAAGAGGGCTAAATTATGAAAAGACTGAGTGTATAATTGCACCAAAACTTCTTAAAGAAAGTAGAATTGATGAAAGTGTTTGCGAATCACAAATATCTTTTAATGAAACGAAGGGGAAACGCTTAAAAGTATGGCGGTGCGTATCCGTCATATGACGTTATATGTAGGTGCAGCGACTACCATAAACGCACATTGTTTAAAATCCGTTATTTTGGAAAGTATACATCATATTCCTTTGAAATTTTTCAGGTCTGATTTGAAATAAAGAAAGCTTCCATCGTGTATAATTTCGTTGCTTTACGTCGATTTATAGCAATTTTATCAAAGTTGTGACATTACTTTTGGAGCAACTCTCGTACATGTAGTGAGTCGTATTAATTGAGAATATTTTAACAATGTTTTATGCCGCTAATTGAATATGGGATTTATTTCACGTGTGGTACTCTAATTACATGTAGTCCTATCAGCTATATTCTAAGTTTTAAAATATTGGATTTTTTTATTATTATTTTCTCTAATTTCCATATGCGAGCATGTTTTGATGGTGGCCTAATAATAGTGAAGTATCTTAAACTCCATTTATAAATTCATATAAACATGCAGCTGAGCAATTGTCATATTAAAGAGATAAAGGTTGATTTCAACAACAAATTTGGAAAAAAAATCGAAGTTATATATTGCCATGATATTTTTTTTAAAAATTCAGGGTTTTTTTTTTACAGCTTCCTTTTGAAGGGAACGCTGCAAACGCTGCAAAAGCGGAGTTTTGCCGCATCTCTATTATCCTGCCAACACGAATACCACTCTCATATCCTTTATACATATTGTGACAAAATAATGATTTCAAGAACCCCCCCCCCAAAAAAAAAATGGATAAAATTGTAACATCTCTTTTGTCAGCTCTTCTAAAAGCTGATTTTTCAGTTTTGATTCCGATAATTTTTTTTACATATGTAACTTACATATGTACATATGTACACGTAATCAGACATGTACAATTTTCCCTTCCATTTACATTAAAAGGCAATATAAAGACGAAAAGATGTATTGACAGATTTCTTCAGAGGTTGGGCTAACTATATATATGGTTTCGGAAATAAATCAAACGAAATTTAGCTAGGTTTGTTTGTTTGTTGTTTAACGTTTAATTTTTAAACTCATGCAGACACCACCGCTTACCGGTGGAGAGCTTAAAAGTTTGTCCTACTCTCAGCACTCAGGAATTTTGAACAGTGAGAGATCTTTTTCGTGCCAGCATCTACTTCAACTCGGGACCTCGTTTTGTATAGGGCCTGATTCGAAGGACCAAGTCTTCACGAACTCGGGATTCGAAACAGCGGCGTAACCTTGGATCAACTCCTTGCTCTAAAACTCTAGAGCGGACGCTTTAACTACTACACCGCGTTGGTGACGTTAAAGCTACATAAAAATATCTTTGATTTAGATTTTATGTAACAAATGCAACAGATCTACAACATTATTTAGCATTTATTTGTTCTTATATTATTTAAAAAAATGTTCAAAAATTGTGTGTTCAAAAGTTACCTGCATAATTATAAACAAGTCTTTATATTATTTAAGGTAACCATTGAATTTGGGAAATTGTAAATCAAGGATACTATGAATTACGAATTGATTTGCAGGAATTTGTTGATGAAAGTCGGTATGCATTCTGTCGAAAGTTTGCAATTGGTTTTGACAGCACGTTTTATGCACTGACTCACCAGGATTATATTGGGACAACAGGTATTAAAAATCGAGAATAATTCAACCCTGTATCTTAATTTCAAATGGCCTATTGTTGAATACGTCAGATATATGTTCCTTTGTTACATATCGTTTAACGTCCCTCTCGAGGTTTTTTTCACTCATATGAAGACACCAACACAGGAGATCTGTGTAGCAACCCCTAGTGATAAAACAATTTTGCAATTCCAACGCTTAATGATATTTCCATCATTTAGTGGCGTGTTGTCATTAGCGGTTGCTACACTGTACATAGTTAAAAATATTTGTCCTATACTCGGCAGTTACGACATTTAAGCAGTGAGGTACATGTATGTTGTTAGTGTCAGCACCTACTGATACACAGGACATCGGTATATACGGTCTCATCCAAAGGATCGATCTCCGAGTTCCACAGTGGGATTCGAACTCGCAACGTAATGATCAACTCCTTATTTCACGAGTATATAGCAGGCGCTCTAGCATTCTGCAGGCGTATTTGTTATGTACCTGAGAGGACCGGATTAAACACGAGTAATATAAATATACACTGGCAACAAACGCTAAGTAATCTTAAGAACAAGCAAACCAAGTACAATAAATCTGTATAAAAGTGATATTTTTTTATTTGCTATAGAATTTTTTTTCTACATTTTCACTTCCGCCAATTATTTCAAATTGTACGATAAATTAAGGTGTTTCTTTCTACTCAGCAACATTGAAAATAAATAAAACTGCAAAAAGTGAATATTAAATTTGTTTTTTTAAGCTACAACTCTCATGTGTTAAACCATTCAGGATACTATACTATGAACAGTGAAACTATGTATTACTTTGCGGCTGGGTAGATAACATTATCTTTTGGGAATCATTAAAAAAATATTATATACAGTTAGATTGAGATGCTTTTAAAGGTGATGCATTTGGATACCATCATAGAAAGCAGTTTTATACAAAAGACATAGACAACGCCTCTAAATGTTCGATTATATGTAAGGGAGCTTGTTGGTATGGTCAATGTCACTCCTCTAACTTGAATGGACAATATCTCAGAGGAACAACAAGTTTGTATGCTACTGGTGTTATATGCGACACTTGGCATGATCAATACTACTCTCTCTACATGTAGCGTCTCTGTCCTTAAGCTACGTCATCTCTAACACAATAGGTGACGGTATTCTTAATATGAAATGAAATTATATGGAATTGCAAAAAGTAGAAAAAGTGGATTGGTACATGTAGCTTCATATCATTGTTATTGTACAGAATATATGTAGGTATTAAAAGCAGCTCTTCGAAAAAATGTATAACAACAGAACGGTCATCAATCCCATATTTTTTTTTCAGGCAGGTGAGCTACATATCAGTAGCTATATGTATTATATACGTTTGTATCTCTGTGCTGTATTAAGGTCGACGGAGCATCATCCTGGAGCCTGTTAGAGAGTAAGTATGACCCTTGAATGGATACCAGTTTATACCCTCGCCATGATTGTTGTTACCATACTCTCCATTTAAGTGAGACCTATGTCCATCATTATACCACCAAGCACCTCTCCATCTCTGTGCATTATTGTAAGGGGCGTTGTCGTTATCCTTGTCATACGTTGAAAACTGTGCATCGTTGTTACAGTTATAAAGGTTGCATGAAATACCATCACCTACAGGGAGAAAAAATGTATTTCAAAATAAAAACTTTTAGTGAATAACAAAACGGTTAAAGCTGACATAGGATTTGGCCCTGGTTCTGATTTCAACATAGACTTTTAGCTTCACTTTATGTTTGTTTCTGGTTGCTGGATGTAATTTTATTTATGACTTAACTCGAACACATGGCGGGTGTGACCGGTCAGGAAGGGATGCTTACTACCCCATGGTATCTGATCCCATCGTTAATCTTCATGTTTATTTTGCATTTAATGTTTATTGTTTAGAAACTTTGTCTCGAATACTGTTCGTTTTCTCCATAAATCTTATATCAATTACGTAGCTACATTAAAGAAAATGGAAAATAAAAGACTCGGGTATGATATGTTAATAGCTAATCCATTGACAATTCATTGACACCTAACACATCAGGAGCAAAGCAAATGCAGAATTCTTACAGATCAGAGGCAAGATCAAATGCCATACAGGAGTAAGCATAAGATTGTATTTGGTGTATTACTTATCAGGTTTATTACCACCTTGTATCAATAAGATAAGATTCATTTCAGTCTTAAACCACCTTGTATCAATAAGATAAGATTCATTTCAGTCTTCTCATTTTTTTTTTCAAAGTAATGTTTCAACTATCATAAACACATTTAGTTGTCATCGGATTTTTCAATTTGCCAAGCCATAACATGCACACATAGTTGGTGAAACCACTCGAAAGGGATGATTGCACGATTATAGCATCTGATCTCACCTCTGAAAATGAAAGTCAGTGATTGCTCTGCTCTTAGTTCCTATTGTATCTTTTGGGCTTTATAACTGTGCGTAATCTCAATATTTGATATTAAGTATGCATATTAGTTTTGTAAGCAAATTCAAAAAGATAATTGCCTAGAATTAATAATTTGATAACAAAAAGTATTTATTTCTATTTATATCATTGTACATTTAGATATCTTATATATGGGTATTTATTTTCATATTCCTACCTGCAATTGGACACTGTCCAGATTTAAAAATTCAAAAAAAGGACTAACTAGCGGTAGGATTAATCGGCTCACTTCACGCTTGATTGAAAGCAACCACTGGGATCGCTATAGGAGGCCCACATCTAGAGCTCACCTCGAGGAAACACATTCCGAACCCATATATTAAAATGTGCCCTACTGCTAAGCGGTTGCAGGGTTAGATTTTAAAATTTACTCTGGTATTGGATTGTGTGTGGTCGTCACTTAACGCATACCTGCTGTTCCACTGTATCCAAAAACATGGATCCGGTAATTGTCATCCTCCCCAGCTACATAGAAACTGCTATACTCTGCATAGACAGACTCTTCTCCATCTTCTAATTCTACACGAAGAACTGTGAAGCCATTCATGACTAGCAGATGGATGATGTCCAATCCTTAAAAATATGTCTTTTTAACTTTTCATATTTACATGCTAAAAGTGTAAGCAAATTAAAAATTTATTGAATAATATTATATTTATTTGTTGCCTTATCATCCTCTTAAGAAATTTTCGATTTTCTTATTTACCAATTAAGTCGTAAAATCCCAATACTTACTAGTATGTTTTTTCACAGGAGGGTAATAACTTTAACTTACCGATCCAGAATTCTGACTTAAGGTCCCCAAACCCGTATTTATACTCAGTCCATCCCCTGTAGAAATTCAGAGAACCGTCAACTCTCCTTTGTATCATCTAGACAATAAGTGTAAATAATCCAAGATGTAATTATCTATTTAAATATTTGTTATTTTTCATTAAATTTTATATATTTTAATTCCTTAGCAGATACAGATGGGTCGCAACATTTACCGTTATCTCTTTGCGTAAATGAATTTTATAAGAACTTACTGTATACTGTGAATCACCATACTAATTAATGTTCTTCACAGTTGCATAAGGATATGCATCTCGATATCTTAGGAATAAGGTATATCTTTAATTTTCATAAATAAAATAAGGGTTTTATGACATAAATATGGAACAACAGCTAAATTCATTCTAAGTAAGAATTACACAGAAATCAATTATAGAAAAAAGATTTCAACAGTTATTATTTTATTTCCTAGCACACTATTATTAAGAAAGATTATTGCAGCAAACAACAATAAAAAATCATACTTTGATAAGTTATATCAGAATTCAACAACGACATTGGCAAAATCTTAATTATCAACACAATTAAATTAAACGAATACGAATCTTTACATATCTCACTTCTCATCTTTTCTAAACCCAAAAGGTTTCTGTGTAAAAAAAGACCTTAAACGGTTTTCATTTTTTTTTAAAGAAATAAATATCCAAGGACAGATGTCATTGGGGCCAAAATTTGCTATTGAATTCACAAGAAATCGATAAAAAAGAAAACTACAAACAGAAAACAATACCGCCCAAATTGATCCTCCGGTGTTGATACATGTTACTTGAAAACGCAAATCTTCTATCTTCATAATATCAGTCAACTCTTTGCCTTTCGATAGCGGGATTAGACCACAGTCAGTGACTTAAGATGTAAAATTTATAAAAATTGATAATAATTAATATTTTGGTTTGAATATATTTTATTATTGATAAATGACTAGTACCAGAATAATGAAAGTATTTGATAACTAAAAGAGTAATGATTTGGAAATTCTTGAAATTTCAACGAGGTAAATGTATAAAGAATCCAAGGAATGAGTCGATCAGAACAAAACCAACGACGGCAACTGTAAATTTAAATGATAATTTGTCATCCGTTGACTTAGATTTAGATGTTATTTACCGCTAAGTAAACTGTGTCCACCGTAGACATAATGACTTAATACGAGACTGCTGATATCTTTGTTACACCAGCTTGTTGGTAAAAAAACTTCCTCGGTTAAAAATCGATTGTACATATATAGAGCATGCTCTTGCGTATTGAATCAGTAGGAGGCATAAACTTCAAATGCAGATGATAAGGGTAAATTGCTTCATAAGTATTGAAAAAATTCCAAATATGAAAGAAATATGAAAGACTTTGTGTTGTTTTTTGATTCACATTCTCTTTGATACATGAAAATCGACCCAACATATCAATTAAAGTTATTGTTATTTAAAATTCGTCATCGATATTCCTAAATGTCGATATGAAATCTACATGTATGTTCTTCTTAGCTTGAAGAGGTTTTATAAAAATCCTGCTTTATATGGATACTAACATACATAATCTGCTACGTGTATAATTTCCTGATGAAATAATTTTGATTTTTTCTTTAAAATTAAAAAAAAAAAACGATGTAAAGAATATCTGTTATTTCATTTTTAGCCTTTAATGAGAATTTTGACAAGATATCCTCTTTTTATACCTTACATATTGTATTAAGTTTAGTAGATAATTAGTGACTTTGGGGAAAAATATATATGTTGCATTAATTATTTAAAATGGTTTTGTTTGGTGATGAATTTGAATTTGCCATGAACGCAGGATTTCCCCAAACGTCAAACAATTAAAATAAAATATTGA